GAAGGTTTGAGTTGGGATTGCCGGAGAGAAGGAATCGTATCACGTAAGGTTTCGCTGATTAGAGATATGGCTGAACCCGTGTCTATAAGAATGCGGGTGGCATGTCCGTCGAGGACTGCTGTAGTGTGAGCAGTAGGTGAGGCGTGGCGGGCCTGGGAGTGATCTACTGGCGGTCGGCCCGTGGTGCCAGCAGAGGGTCGTTTCCCTGTGTGGAAGATGATGCGAAACGTACCGAGCGAGATGGAGACCGACTCTGGCGACGATCAGTGGAAGGAGGTCGGGAATCACGCTCCCAGGAAGGCGAGCGGGCACGGTAACGGTCGGAAGACGGACGGTGGTAGTCCCTGTCTCTAGAAGAAGGGCGACGTGAGGTTCTGTCCCAAGAAGGGGAGCGAGCAGAACGTCGGCTGGCGTCTGATGAGCGGAACGGTGATCTCCCTCTGGATCGGGGACGGAAAGGAGACGTGGACCGCGGAGGGTCAGTCGGTGGGGGAGATGCGGTGGTGTTTCAAGAGGTCTGTCAAGTCTGATACTTGGCGGGCCAGGTCAGCAACAGTACGGTGTAGGGAGGTATCGTTGCGGACGGCGACTCACCGCGGGGTGATGGAAGGTAGGATCGACAGCATGAGCGTTGTTGGCCTCCCATGCAGCTGCTGTAGCGGCCTGCTCCAGCATGGTAGCGGTTTTGACTGCTTGGTCCACTGTTGTGGCCTGCACCTCGCGAAGCCGTCTGCGGATGGTAGGATCAATTCCCCTGAAGAAGTAGTCCAAGGTAAGCCCCCTCAACCGCTGCTTCGTTGTACTCAGGATAGGCTTGGCTTACCAACCTGCGTAGATCAAGTGCAAATACGATCAAGGGTTCTCCAGGTTGGCGTGTTCGTTCCTGGAGCGACTGGCGGAACGTGTAAATGTAGTGTTCCTTGGAAAAGGCAGTGGCCAGGCGCTGAGTCAGTGTTGAATAGGTAGCACGGGCCTGCCTCGGCAAACCAAGGTAGAAACGCAGGGCATGGTGGTCAAGGAAAGTTGGGAGGGCCATGGCACGTTCCTCAGGGGTGTACTTCTGGGAAGTGGCATAAAGGTCAAATTTGTTGAGCCACAAGGTGAAGTCATCATCAGTGCCGTTAAATGTGGGTGGCAGTCTTGTCTTGAGGCGGAGGTCTGACGAGGGTTGCTGGTTGGTGGTGTCCTGAGTCATGGCAGGGGGTGGAGCCTGGTGGTAAGAAGCCCCGGCAGGGCTGGTCCCATGAGTGTTGGATTCAGCAACAGACGTGGCTGTGGGCACGGTACCCCTACCAGGAAAAGATCCTGTAGCGTAAGCAGACTGAGCATACTGATTGTACAGTGGTGTGGGACCCACCTGTGGTGTTGTACGTGGGAGGGCGCCTGGGAGGGTGGTTGCAGTTCGGACACCGGATGCGCCACGGGATTGAATGGGGGAAATTTCTGAAGGTGACAACAGTGGTCGCAGCCGTGGAAAGGTAATTTCCTCATCGTCTTCTAGCGTAAACGGATGGAGGTTAGCCATACCTGGAGTCTTGGTAGAGCAGGGTAGACACGAGTCAACCAGGTGGGGGAGGGGGGCGCTCGAACGTCGGTCGGCAATGTGCTCCAAATGCGATCCACAAGACAGAGCTGGCGGGAGTTCGAAGCCAGACACCGCTGCCACCAATGTAAGTGTCCAGTTGGTGAAGATATTGGAACTTATAAGTAATCACTCCAGGAATGAAGATGCGAGAAGTGCTGGGATATGAAATGTATTCTTGTCAGAACATGTGCAGTCCGTGACCTCTGACCGGACTGGTCCAATAGTTTGTGGGGGTGTATATTGTATCCTTACACTAATATAGAAATGCTGTCATTTTCATTATCCAATCCTAACTTATACAATAATACATGTACCTAGCTTTCTCAAACTCCTGTATCAATGCCTAAGCCTCTCTGTGAGCTCAGTTGCAAAGACCATGCATGAAGTCTTACCCAGTCAAGGATGGAGAGGTGGCTGCGCAGGAGGTACTGGTCCCTCCCGAACACAATCCTCTTGTCATGGTACTGGAGGATACTGTTGTTGAAGCTCTCCACATAGTGGGTATTAACGCACTGGAATGAAAAAGAAAACTATAAGATACAGCATAGCACTTGCTATCTGACATACGTTTCTTGTAACATGTAAAAAGACTCGTGAAGTGAACCTTGTACTAATTTGTAGGGGCTGACTGACATTTTACCCTAGGCTTTGCTCCACCTTATCGGGTAGCTCTTTTCAGTCCAGTATTCGTTTCTATGTGCGGGCCACAACACCAGCAACACTTACAGCTGCCTCTGTTCCGCATGTATTGCACTGTTGCAATCTCAATAAAATCAAAACCAAATCTATACGTACAGATATTGCCCAATTTGGTGAGCAAATCCTTCAAAAGGCTGTGTTAGTGACCTTCACTGTATAATGTGTCGTTTAGAAAAGCCTTCTTAGTGGATGTACACATGTATGTGTGGGGAGTGTGGGTGGGATAACACTACCACTGGGTTATGGGTAGACTTTATAACATATATGTAAGCTTGTATTTCTTCCAAATCTACCATGACTTTAGAACCGCATAAAAAATGTGACCACAGAGAGAAATGCTACGTATGCAAAAGTTTGTGCACTTTCAGCAAACAATATCTTTGCATCAATTTTTCAGCCTTTCGGGAGCTGGATGTCATCCATCAAGCATGATTCATCCTAAACCAGTCTGTATAATGTTACTTACATGAACATAGTCATGTGGATTTTTGTAGATTGGAGTCTGCTGTATCCACCAGGTCAGGATTGCTATGGCCACAGGATCCCTGAGCAGAGCTCTCTGCGGCTCATAGTTGGGGTCTGTCCGGCACCGAGACCCCTCCAGCTGCCCATCTCCAGCAAAACAGTCTCTGTGGTCATTCTGAAAGAAGATACACTGTATCAAGTAGGCTCAATTTGCCTTCTTTCCTTCTCACAGTAGTTTTCAAGTGACTCCAAATTTCCAACCCCCTTCCCCAATTACCTGGTAGTGTCGGACAATGTTGTTCAGGCGAAACTGCAGCAAGCCGGCATCAGCATTGCAAGTCTTCATTGCCCAGTAGAAATGCGTTTTCACACCGGCACCTACAGTATAACACGGTATATGTTCAATTTGAGAATCTCTAAATATACACAGGTCAAAGGCAGCCAGCATAAAGGGATTTTATTTGACAAAGCAAAGTACAGTAAGTATATGTATGGTATGATGTTGCACAAACCTTTATCTGAGAGCTCTGGGTGCCAAACCCTTCCCCGTGTGGCTATTGTTCCTTTGGCAACCTTGGCAAATGACTTTGCCAAGTTCTTGGTGGCTAAAAAGAAAACAGAACAGTTCAGTTTATACATCGTCAATTCGAAAAAAAATTATTTCACCTCGATGATGGGGTGAGATTTTCAATAAGGTCAAGTGGAGGAAGGGGTCACATAAAACAACAATCAAAACCATAAGCAAATAAGAAATAAATAAAACATTCTAGACCGTATCTCTGTTGATATGTATGCCAGTTCTATAGATGTCTTGAAACTATAATCATGATAAATAAATCTATGGAACATACCGTGCCAGGTATCATTGCCGTTTTCTGTATATTGCCGGTTGTCTTCTAAGAACTTGTTGACAGTGAGGTTCCTGTCGTGGCCATGGAGATGAATGCTCAATCCTGAATATACACAAAAAAGTGTCAAAATGTATGTTATTATTAGATGTAACAATCAATGCCATTACCTACATGTATCATATTTCACACAATGTGAATCTTAGATTAGCTTGCTCACGCATGCTTCCATTGTACGTACATGTAAGTGGTTTCAACATACCTCTGGCATCAGCCCACTCATAGAAACGCCTTGTTCCAACGATTTCATGATTTGGGGACACAGGCTCATCCTCTTTCGTCACCAATTCGTGACGGATCACACGGTGTGTTCTGGAAGAACATGATTGCAAAAAATTGGAGGATGTTACTGTGTGAACGACACTACCTTTGGTAGCAGACTTTGAGATCATAATGCTTTGTGGTGGTTCTTACATGTCTGTATGTTTTTCTCATTGTTTCTCAGTTTCCTTTCTTCCATATAAAGTGAACTGTTATAGTATATATAAACATGACTCACGTGTGGCCAAGGAAGACAACATCCGAGTTGTAGGCGTTCTTCCTCCAGCAGTGGCGGGCATCAGACAGCACTTTCAGTCCCCTGTAGTCGTCTTCATCTTCATTTAATACACTTGCTGCTATTTCCTATCACAGGTAAAGAAGTAAATGGTCAACTAGGTGCTGAATCGTATTCAAATCTACAAGATTTCTCTTTTCACATAATATACTTCCTATATATATGCAAGATATGGGACAGCCCAAGTAAAGATTTTGTTACACACCTCTTGTAGTGATGTCTCCATTGAACGCTCTGCAAGATCTTGCACCACACCTTTGTATTCACTGAGAACTGAGGATTGTGATAATAGAAAATCCTTTTAGTACAAATTATTTCAATCCCAGGAATTACTGCTGGCAAGTCTTGAAATTGTAACTGATCATTTGAACATCACATCAACACATTGCTACTTACCGACATTCCTGTCTTCTTCCTTGATTATGCCTATGTCTGCAGCCTGACATAGCTTCTCATACTGCGTCGGCAGTATGCCACTTGTAAAGGTCCCATGTAGCATCCTGTAAATAGGAAATGCATTGTATTCTATGAAATGATGAACAATGACATGTAATACAAATATGACATGCATAGTACATGTACATGTACATGTACACGTATGGACATTATCTCCATACAATGCTTCTTATGTATAAACTTCCTCATGACTACATGTAGATACTTTTGCAAAGTATGTATCCATATAGATAGTTAGAGGTAAATTCAATGAACATATTTAGGTACTAATCGTTATAAAATACACTAATTATTTCAAAAAGACTCACCTATCGTTCACAAGGAAACGATTATTGGGTAACTTGGGTGATGTATCTTCTTCAAAACCATACAGTCAATGTACTCAAATGTAGAATATTGTGTCAAAATGTCAAATGGTCTCTCGCCGTACTTTCAATCAACCTGTGGTGTACGTCAAGGTTGTAGCTTAAGTCCTCTGTTGTTTAACTTATATATAAATGACTTTACAGCTATACTTAACACGCCATCATGCGACCCCATCTTTCTAAAAGACACCGCTATTAACAGTTGGGCGGATGATCTTGTACTTGTATCCAAATCTGAAGCTGGGCTCAAAGAATGCCTGCGAATACTCGACCAATTCTGTTCCTTGTGGAAGTTATCAATAAACAAAGACAAAACCAAAGTTATGATATTTTCAAAACACGGGCGGATTAACAAAAACCAACACCAACCATATAAAACACAGGGCCAAAACATAGAAATTACTAACCACTATACATATCTAGGAATAGATGTAACCCCGTCAGGTTCATTTAATAGAGCTATAAAACAACTAAGATTGAAAGCTTTAAGGGCTTCATTCAAATTAAAATCACTCTTATCATCAAACTCTAACTCTTCCATCCCACTTGCCCTCGACCTGTTTAACACTTTAGTAAAACCAATTTTGTTGTACTGTAGTGAAGTCTTAGGAACAAATTCACAATGTAGAGACTTGATCCTGAAAGGAATAGAAGAATGTTTGTGCACTGGTTCTGTCAGTTGTGCAGTACTGCGCACCAGTCTTAGCCAACATGTCAGACTCCAACATGCGCAAACTGCAAGTAGTGCAGAATAGGGCATGTAGACTGTTACTGAAATGTACTCCTGATACTCCTACCAGGCAGATGCATCTAGATCTTGGTTGGCCGACTGTGAGAGAGAGATTCTTGAAAAGCACTTTGGTCATGTTCTTTAAGATCCTCACGAGTCACGAACCACAAAATATTTACAACTCCCTTTTGCCTGTTCATGCATCTCACAGTCATAATACCAGATCTTCCGCACATAACTTTAGATTACCAATACCTAAGTCCAACAGCAGAAAACGCTCATTCCTGTATCGTGCAGTCGTGCTCTGGAACGATCTACCATCTGACGTTAAGACACTGTGCGATGTTATCAGTTTTAAGAAAGCTGTTTCAAACAGTAGTAGTGTCACCTGATCCTTGACCCTTGCTCGCCACTTTTAAATTGTTTATATCTATGTGTATTTATTGTTGGTGTGGTGTACATGTATGTATGTATGTATTTTTAAATGTTTCCACTATGTTGTAATTGCTATAATGTTTGAGCCTTGGAAGATTAGCCCTTCGGGGCTAAAAGGTTTCGAAATAAATGAAATAAATGAAATGAAATGTCCCAACGAAAATGTCAGAGAAAAAGTAACTAACATTCTTGGTCCAATTTTGGCACCAGATGTCGCCATCCTTAGAACTTCCCGCATAGGGAAGAAACTTGACCCTTTATCTCCTCGCCCCGTTCTCGTTCGTTTTAAAAGATATAGTCACAAACTTAATTTGATATACCACTCAGAAATATTAGAAAACATAACATTAGAACAACCAACGATATGTTATGAAATTCCTGACCTAGAGTATGTTCTGTTAAATTTCTACAAAATACTTCTCCATGTTCCAAAGAGCTCTGTCAATTCCGCTGTAAGGGGGGAGTAAGGAACCTTACCACTGTACATTGATGCTCAGACACAAATGATCAAATACTGGCTTAGGCTAACCAATTTATCTAATGACAGAATTGTAAAGAAGGCATATGATGCTGCTGTCGAACTAGACCATGACTGGACAGTCCACATACAGGACTTACTGTGCAGACACGGCTTCCAAAATGTCTGGCTGAACCCAAGGGTTAATGCCAACCAGTTTGGAAGCTTATTCAAGCAACGTTTACAGGATACATTTCTAGTTGGCTGGTGGCAGGAAATAAGAAAATTCAATAAACTTCATACTTATTC